AATTTTTGATTTATTGTAGAGATGAGGTCTCGCCAAGTTACCCAGACGGGTCTCGAACCCGTGGGCTCAGGCAATCCACTCACCTCAGCCTCCCAAAGCACGGGATTACAGGTTGAGCCACGGAGCCTGGCTCATGTTTTGTACTTTTAACTAAACAACCTGCAGCTGTGAATGACCCCGTCATCTTAGTGATGATAATTCCCCACTTGGACTCTGCCAGCTGTGAGAAGAACAGAGCTGATCAATGGGAGGTTTTTCAAGATTGTTTCAGGTTTTCAGATTAACCTTCTACTTAAACCTATGCTAGAAATCTGGGATTACCTGTATTCCTGTGATGACCTCCTGATTTTCTTTTGAACTGAAAGGTGCTCTTCTAAAAATATATATTTTTTTGAGTTGGAGTCTCACTCTATTGCCTAGGCTGGAGGGCAGTGGCACGCTCACTGCCACCGTAGCCTCGACCTGCTGGGCTCTGGTGAACCTTCCGCCTCAGCCTTCCAAGTAGCTGGGACTACAGGCATGAGCCACCACACCTGGCTAATTTTTTGATTTATTGTAGAGGTGAGGTCTCGCCAAATTGCTCAGTCTGGTCTCGAATCCCTGAGCTCAGGCAATCCTCTTGCTTCAGCCTCCCAAAGTGCTGGGATTACAGACTTGAGCCATCACACCTGGCTCCATCTATATTCTTACGCATGTTTGCTTATAAGGTTACCTCCCTTTTTTCACTTCTGGAACACAGCCATGAACTTGCTGCGACACACCAGGGGAAGGCAAGAACTTTCCATCCCCATCCTACTCCCTCTTAACTATCCAACTGCCCAGCCACACCCAGCTCTCCTCCTTTTCTTCATCATGGCCATGTTACACCTCCACCATGGAGGTAAGAAAAAAATAAAACATGTAATCCCACGCCTGTGGGAGGCTGAGGTGAGTAGATTGCCGGAGCCCGCGGTTCGAGACCCGCCTGGGCAGCGAGACCTCATCTCTACAATAAATCAAAAAACCAGCCGTGTGTGGTAGTGCATGCCTGTAATTCCGGCTACTCGGAAGGCTGAGGCGGAAGGATCGCCGGAGCCCAGCAGGTTGAGGCTGTGGTGGCCGGGAGCGGCTGCT